CACGATGCGCTGCAATGAATCAATGTGGGTTATCACCGTTCAAATCGTTATACATCCAATATTTCACCTCACGTTTCATGTATTATTAACGTTTTATGCACAATTGCAATCAAAATCAAGCCCAACAATTCAAACAAACACGTATTTGCTTTCATTCTGTTTTTTTTTTCATTGTGAATATTATTATGTTGTTGAAAAACGAAGTAGTTGGAAGTCTTTCTTATTCTGAGTAAACCATTATCTATGAGGTATATAGTGGCCTTCGAAATAAATACACTCCTTTCTGTCTAAAAAATATGATAGATCTTGAACATCGAATAGAATGTTAGCAAACGAATAGTACTGGTCAACATAATAAAATTACAATAATGTACTGCTCAGATTTGTATGACTGGATTTCACCAACTGAATTCAGCGTTCCCATTTGCATGTATAAACTAGATGACTGATGTATGAAATAGAACCAGATAATCATTAGAATCGAATGTCTTAGACATGTTTGTATGGAGCAGTTTAAAACAAACCATCATATACTACCATCAATGTAAATGTGTAGTAAATAGACAACCGTCACTAAAACCCAAATAAAATTCTCAATTAATGAATTTCTTTCGCTTTTAGTAGAAATAACAGAATATCAGGATGTACCGAATATTAAAGCAGCTAAAATGTTCTACAAAACATGCACCGAAGCCCTCTCGATGAAAAACGAGTTCATTATTACAAAAGTTATTAATCTGATAGAAGTATTTTTCGGTGGATGGCTGATGTCATCAGATGACACACAGCACTACAATCTCATAGAAAATGTTTTTAGAAGTTGGAAATTCAATCTGACCGCTTCAATTTTACCATTGATATTTCAAAGTGGAAGAACCACTTTTTTTTCCTTGAACATAATCGGAGATTATTCAACAGGAGATAATTCAATTATTTATGTAAGATTTCAAACACTACATGTTTTTGACTATTTTCATGCACGATGTACTTCCAAATACATAGTTTAGATGCTTTTCTCGACTTAGAATGCTAGTGATCTAAAATTCGTCCGGAAACCCCTAAAACGACTGAACAGGTTATCGCGTATGTAAGTAGACATTGAATAGATATTGGGCGATTCAGAAATTTCCTTGAACAGCGTCTCATTCAGTCAATTGACGAGTTTGGCTACAGTACTGTCATATACTCATAAACCTCAGTACATTCTTCTAATGGTTTGTCCTACAGTCCAATTCGGCATATTTCCTCATCGTTCTATGTCTCAGCGAAAATTTAGGTTTTTAAAGGAGTTCAACTTTATTCTGTCGGTTGTTTCTATCAGTTTATTCAGCTTGTGTCGCTAGACACAACTGAGATTTAGATAACTCGTGATGAACGAACTCAGTACAAATAACTGTCACTGACTCGTTTACGTCCAATTACTTCGTTCAATTCCTTATTTTCACTGAGTTGAATGAGACGGTCACATGGGCATGTGCAGTTACAAAACGAAATTTGTTTGCTGGTATTTAAAAATCAGTTAATCTTTGTTCGATAATGAAACACCATTTTATTGTGCAAATGATGTCATCTAATTAAGCAAATCAGACATGTTTATTCTCCTCATAACGTGAGGATAGAACTGTCATACAACTGCATAGCATCCATTGAATGAAATATTTTGTAAATGAGGACTTGATGGCTTCTGACACTAACTTGTGTTTATGAGACTTTTCACTTTCACTCTTTCTAAACGTGAATGTAACTTTATCCTTCTAGATTGAACCAGGATCGCTTGATGCGTTTGACAGGGAGAAATTAAACATGGTACGATGAAACAAGCATTCCGATATAATTATTTTTATTGCAGTGATTAAGAAAATTTCATTATTCGTTTAATTCTAATATTTTAATAGTTGAAGTCACGAGTCAATCGAAGCTAGACTACTATTGAAACGTTAGAAACAGTGGACGGTCGTTTCTTTCTAGAATGGGACTTCTCAGCAACGCGCGTCTTCAAAATCACCCGCGTGATTCGATCACAAGATCTATCGCTCTTGGAATCAACCATCAAATTACCATAATATCCATAAAACCCTTATTTGGTCATAATTTTTTTGTTCCTAGTTGCGATAAACATCATGCAAGACGGTTCATTAGGCTTATTTCAACGAATAATGGGAAGTGCACGAGAGTACATACACTAGTAAACAGAATGAGGAAAGTCAAACTTGACAATTACGTAGATCATTGCGACGATTTAATACATTCACTAGTTGAGATTCGTAAATCGAACAAGAAAAAAATCAGTAAACATCTTTATGGGTCTATGAAAGCAGATTCGACTAACAAAGTCTAGAGCTTTGAATGTCAATAAAGTGACGTTTGGTAAATCGAGTGATCGTTATTTGATATTGGTCACAAACTGAAGATATCCAGTCAAATTTCTACTTTGATGTTGGTTCGAGGTGATACCGAGTGTTATTCACGATGTTGATATCTGTATGAATTTTGCTATAATGGATGTATTTTGGTGTTATTTTTCATTTTGCTTTAACGACTTTCAGTATAGTGTCCTATAATGTCTATTATGTATGTTTTCGTAATTTTCTAATCAACTGATAAATTGTCTTTTGTCTATCAGAGTAGGTGATTTCTGATGATTTACGGTCAATGGATTAGGAGTATTTTGAATAGGCTGTTGTTTATTTATATACATACGCACTTATGCTTATGGCGTTGTAAGTTATCCGAGTTTCTGATTCTCACAATCAAATCACTGTGAAATTAATGTTGAAACTTCCATTTTCGGTCACGAGTATTAGTTCCTTTGAGTTTTAGGTCAACCTCAATCCCAGGAACTTTCTCCTTGTCCTGCTTGTTCGTCCCTCGTTGATGCAAGTATTTTATCTCGTCCACAGCTCCGTCATAAATTGTGACTTGGTCGCTTTTCAATGTGTTTCATTTCATGATCTCATTTCCTCGCTTTTGAAAGTTGAGGTCTACTCTTTGATAGCCATCTGTATGTTGGTTTCACACTGTGTATGTGATAGGAGAATTGATTGACCTTCGTCAATCCAAATCATCAAACTGCGTATCGTGTGATGTGTAAGCCTTCACAATCCAAAGAACAGCTAGCTGAAAGAGAAGAGATGAGATTTGTGAGACTTTTATGGAACTGTTCTTCAATTACCATGGGTCCGTGGAGTGTTGTCAATACATAATTTCACGACAAAGTCTGTTGATCGCGTTTCCTGTGATGATGACAATCTTCTCTTGACCTCCATAGTGCGTAAGAAGGTTTCATCAGGTTTCCATGTGCATGCGATCGAATGCTTTCTCGTAATCCACGATGGATGTACTGAACGTTTGAAGTACCACCTATACAACTCTCCAGTGATTCTTCATTATCATATTTTATTTGACTACAACCAGGCGATGATCTGAAGTTGTACCAGATCCCATCTGTCTTCTGACGTCTTTCATGAACGTTTTTAACCTTCTATTTACCCAACTATGTCTGTTCTGACTTCACGTCCATTTAATGGTTGAGACCCCCATAGTTTTTATGTGAACTTAAAAGAGAGAAGGCTACCACCTGTAACTGAGTTCTCAATAACACATGCAGACAATAATACCTGGCCATTACCGTTCTCTTACACTGGTCCATGTTATGCTATGAAGCATCCATACGTGGTGTTCTTCATCACACGCATGATGCCTTATCTCGGCATCAGGATAGTAATGTGTTGCGTTGAACATGTGCACAAGATATACTGAAACATCTCAATCCATTTTTCATAGTCTCTGTTACTAATAAGACAAGAACAGAACGTTAAATTATCTTCGTTTTTATTCAAATGAGTAACTTTGAAATTTATTCTTTTTATTTGAACCACAAATCATGAACTTTTGTGAGCATGTGGTATATGATGACAAAATATTTGTCTTGCACTTTTCATTGCCAACAGTCAGGTCGATTGGACAGTGAAGTCAAAGAACAAATTTTCAAATATTTTGAAAACGTAGGAGCTCTACAAACTAATAAAAATATGATGGACGGTGTTTTTGAAATTTACTCGAAAATAAAAGATGTAAGTACACCAAGAATGATATGATGTGGTTTATTCAAATTTGTATCATAAACTATTTACAGTACCTAGTAGTAGATGAACTCAGTCGTTATTTTGAAGAACAAATATTCAGCTGGTGTAAAACTGTGGCATTTGGCCAGTGAAATAGAGGGTATTATCAGTAATCATCAGATAGAACTATTGATATAGAATTTCCATGAACACACGAACACTCAATATCCTATTTTGCAACGACACAGTTATCTTGCTTGCCGATAACAAAACAGTAATTGTAATCACAAACGATCATAAATTTCTGATAGTCAAGTAGATTAAACCAATACTGGTAGTGTTGAAAGCACGAGGCCGTCTGAGAAATTGACAACACTGATCACTGTCGTATAACGTCGACTGCATAATTAGATCAGTAAAAATAATTGGAATATTAATTGCAGGTCTTTGGACCAGTCCAAACAAATGAGCTCTGAGCGTTAGAGTTTACCTAGTTTTAAAATCGTTCACAATTCTTAACTGTGATGTTTAATTTTCTTCTAATGTTATGCATCAAACAGCTGATATTTTTTGTCGTGTGGACATATTGTATTAGGTACAGGAGAAAACCGTGACGGAATACAAACCTGTCAATATTGATGAACTGAATAAAATCTGTCAAATCGTAAGTTGCGAATGAGGTCTATTTTGCATTAGTTTGCTAACTCACTGTCGTCAGGAATAACTTGAAGAAATCAATGTACATTATTACGCTTTGCAAGTGTGTGTACGACATTTCCAGGTGTTTGAGATAACGATCGATTGAAGGCTAGATTGAACTAGGATATTTGTGTGTAATACTACCAGTGATTAAACTATTCTATTAAAAATAACTTCAATTACATGAGATGCCTCTTTAAATTTGTAAATGATTTTCAAATTCTTTATTTTGACCAGATCGATTGGAATGTTTTATTTCAAAATGCATTCGTGCATGAATCGTATAAAAATTTGGAAGTTTATATCTCACATAAAGAAGCTTTGCAGATGATTTGCGATTTTCTCTTCTTAAAAATTATAAAAGAAAATGGAAGAAAGTAATTTGCTCAAAGTCGAGTTTAGTGATTTCTGAAACAAGTTGGTTTCATAAGTACCATGCTGTCACATCCTGTTTGCTTTCTCTTGTTCTCATTCGTGTACACGATTTTCTAAGTAATTTACTAGACAGCGCGACCGTCGCATGAAAACCTCAGACATTTGTCTGTGTTAATTATAACAAATACCGTTTGATGTAGCTATTCCTAATAACAGAATGATTCATTCACATTAGTCACTTAAATCAAGTTTATAACCGGTGTTATTCGAGTCTTTACAAACATCTTAAGTGTAAAACGGAACAACGATATTATTTTCATCAGAAAACATGATTACAATCTGACATGTACTTCATTATACACCAATAATTTTGTTCGTATCCAATCTTCATGTGAATTGAAAGCGAACGATCATCCACAAAATCCTCTCAATCTTTATTCACGATTGGTTTCATAACGTCCAGAATGAATAATGTTAGTTGAAAATGATAAGGTTGTTAAATGATCTGGATAAAATCACTTTGATCACTGTATATGTATGGTGTATAAAAGTGACTATTATGTTAGTTTAGTTCTCATCAAAGCGATTAGACAAAAATACGGACAAGAAAATATATGAATAATGTTTATTGTGTGCATTCTTTACGACGTCTGTTTATTAAAGTTAGATGTTGAAATTTGTCGACATCTGCTTTCACGAACGACAAATACTGTCGATCTTAAATTGAATGCTAATTGTATAAGACTGAAGTACTTGGTGTTTGTAATGTTCCTTGCAGAGATATACACAATATGTTAGTGATAGATTTCTTGTACAAAATGCGACGTTACTTGAAGAAATATGTCGAAGACTTTTATCCTTCAGATATTGGTGAGTACCATTACTGGTTATATAAACATAATTATTTATTGACTTATTGTAAGCTGATTTTAAAACGAACGGAAGACAAATAAACATAATCGAATATATCTCAGAGAGATGACGTTTTATTAAGTAATGATACATCCAATAATGCATGTGTCGACTTTATGTGAATGAAAGCAGGAAAACGAATCTAGACAAAGTATTTGGGAGAACTGATCAAGCAGCTTGTAAACTAATTTGCAAATAAACTAGCCCAATGTATCCAAACATGTTGCATGGTAAAATTTGTTAAAGCATCAAGTCTTTTGCTTCAGTCAGATTGTTGAAGGTCATGAAATTGTGTTATCATTACAAGCGGAACCGTTTATGGAAAACACGCAAATACAGTAGACGAATTATGAACACTATGATCCATATGATCTGAGAATGAAGTGGGTTGTGTCACTTTCAATTGGTTATGATTAATATTGTTGAAAGTTATCTGTTTATAACTTGAAGTATGTGTAACAACATGTTGATGTATTTCAATAATTATTTCAGATGAAGAGTCACCAAGTTGCATTCAGGAATTGAAGGAGAATTTCTGGTGGACAATAAATAAGCAGCACGAATACTCTAGTATAAGTAAGAGTACAAAAGATGGAGTGAGTTCCGATTTCAATAATTCATCATTTACCTATTGTTCATAATTGAAAATATGACAGGTTATTACAGTGACACGATTTACATACTGTGTTGAAGAAACTAACAAATACTGGAACAATTATGAGTTATGCTGAATATAGGGAAGAGTGTAAATCAAATCTGCAGTTAATTGATATTTTTCTAACTGCCTTACAGTTATATGATAAAATACGAACAATCCATGATAACCTGTATTCTTTTACTTGGGCACTTTGATCGTTATATCTATTTATACTAAATAGGTGATTCAAATGTTTGACGAAATGAAGCGCAAATTGACTGAATTATTGTCTCAAGGCTCATGGAGCAGTGAAGATGACAAACAAAAAGCTATTTCAACGGTTTGTTTAGTTTTGATAGTGTGAATAATGACCGATTGTATTATTCAGGTTTCCGATATCAAAGTATTACTAATGGATTCAGAATTTTTGAGTGAGGGATACGAAGGCCGAGATAAAATACTCGAAGTACGTTCCTCAAGTGTAACACTAAATATTTTATTATTCCTTAACTTAAAGATCAATGACTCATTTCAATAGATAACTCAGTGTTTACCATTGAGAAAATATCAGTTTTGCCATCATTCTGTTCATCATGTAACTCATGTAATTATTTTCAACTTATCGAAAGAACAGCATAAACATATATAGCTATATATCACCATAGTTTGAAGTGTTGCGTCTCTCGAGCTAGATGGTTTATTTGCGACGCTTTATTGATTCATTCTGGGTAGCGTATTCATTGTCTATATCATTTAGACGTCTTGGTGTTTGTCTTAAAGATTTCAATTGCTAACGTCCCTTTTTTACGTTCTACACCTATTTCACTTAAAAAGAGCCTATTTCGTTCGCCTCCCTTAGTCTTGCATTGTCGACACGAAATGTTTCTTTCATGTAAGCTGTATTGTAAACAATCGTATTTTCCGGCCTTAAGTGAGAAAACTTGAAACAAAGAGTACGGAAAGAATGGGAAGGTATATAAATGAATAATCATACACGTCGAACCGAAACTGAAATATCTATCTTAGATGTATTAAGGTCATTTGGATACAATCATAGACATTCATGAACGCCTATGAGTAAACGAATAAATTTCAATAATTACTTGTACATGGGTGGAGTTTATCGAAGTGATATCAATTTGTAAGAAGAAAGCTTCATTTTCAAATGCGTTGTAATTGAGATGTTTGTTCTTCATATGGAGGTACTGATCGAATTCTCAGTTTCGCGTATTCATCTTTAATGACAAGTCTTTGAGTTATTTTGTTCACAATTCACTTTCGACGGCATTAATAAAAACTGATTGACAATTATTTGTTTCGTCTGTTAATCGCACTTTGATTTGAGACTTTTCATAAGAAAGAAATATAGAGAGTAAAAAAAACTTCACTTATTCTCACTCATTATTCTTCAGAGGTGCCATCATTCAGAGAAATTATTTCAATGTGTCCTGGGTATCCTTAATAATTACAATCATTTCAGTAACTGTATTAAGGCAGTTGTACAACATTAGAAATGAAAGTCTCCCATTAAGCTATTCCACTTAATATACCTCAAATCTTCGAACATACGAAGATCAGTCTTCAAAAGATCAAATTGTTTATGGTTTACACAATTGTCTGTTTCATGTTTGTCCAGTGTATGTTATACTGTCACCAATAGAATGTTGATGATTGTGAAAATATAAAAAAGCACTAATCGTTTTGAAATGGACTATCACTTAGTATGCATCGTTTTTTACATAGTTCATATTTGCTGCCAGTATTGTTTTAGTTGATCTAAAAAAATGATCCGCCATATCAGTCAGTTGGTCGTCGTTATATTATGTACCTACCATGAAATTTCAATGAAATGACTTCTGCATTTAAAGAAATGAAAGTTGATATGTTGAAACATCTGTACGATTACGATTTCCTTCATTTAATACAACAGTAACTTTGAATATAATAAAAAAATCACTTTGTTTCTGTTTTAGAATAAACTTTCCGCAGATAACTATCTTATAAATGTATACTACTCTATGAAAGCTAAATTTCTAACATCATTGAAGGCCACTTCACACGGATACGAATTGTGAGTTGTACTTTGTCACCGTGGCTTTTTAATCACTACTCACTCTCATGTAAAATAAACTCTTTTCTCATAGAAAAAACACTATTTATGACATCGTATTCACAACTAGTTATGTTTCAAATAATGATTTTATGAACAATGGTAAAATGGGTAACATCATTCAATTTATTTTACAGTCAACATTGAAATCCTCTTTTGTTTAGTATATTGTCGTAACACTAGAATAAAACGAAACGTGTTTGTCAGTATTTCAGTGTAATGTAGTTGCATAGCGTTTACGGACAAAACTTCAGACGGTACAATTTACTTTGATCTAGTGTAATCAAATAAGATAAATTTACAACTAATCAATAAAAGTGCAAACACACTTAACTAGGCGATCAAATATGATCACGGATTCAATATGTTGTTATTCTAAAATAACTTTAGATGCATTTATCATCAGGATGACAGTTGATCTCAAATAGTTGCATGGTATGATGCTTAAATGGTTCAAATTTCCTAAATTTGGTAACCCTACTTGAACTCCATCCTATGGAACAGAATATTCACTGTATATAGCAATATACGATATATCATCAGTGAATAGATATAAAACCAAATTAGTTTAATGACAGGTTTACTCATCCACTTATTTCTCTTGATTTAAAAATAAATACATCATTCTAAGTAAGCAAACGTTTGTTGCATATTTACACATTTTTAGACCTGGTTTATTCACTTTCCAACCGTTTATAAATGATGGAGATGGTACAGTGGTTATGACTTCTGGGTTATTACATCTACCGTTTCTGAATACACCAAACTCAATATCTGAAAAGTACGGTACTCTCGGTTGGCTTCTTGGTCGACAGATTATATCTGTAGGTATGTTTTAAGTTATCTCTCCCTCTCCTCTCTGATTCACAATGTTATCGCATTCAGGTACTGAGAATCAGTCACGAACAATTCAGAAATGTGTGTATGTGAACCGTTTCTGTGAACCCACGAGATCTTGATATACTGTTTCCTGTGCAGGTCAGAAGTCTATATTCTGAATATTTCGAACATTGATGTTGAAATATTCTCTTCTGAATGTGACGAGTAGAATTTAAGTGTAGTTATTGTGATTTCGTATGTCAGTGTTTGCATCTCCAATGTGATAGACAGTAGGATATTGATGAAAATATTCATTATCAATGGGTATAAATATATAGGCCATCAAATGTTAACTTGTTGCGAGTAATGGCTTTCACTGTAATGTTGTTTTTTTAACTAATATTATAAGGAATGCTGTTCACACATGACATGATTACACTCAATCTACGGCACTCATCCTACTTAAAACTCACGTTATATATATACGGATATTTTTATTACAGTCTTCAGAGATAATCAGCCAATAGAACAAACGCAATATCAGCTGGAGTGTGGAGCAACTGCTTCTACACCGCTCGAAAATCAACTGTGTTGTTTATCAGCACAAATCAATTCTGGTAGACTTCAGAAGGAAGTAAGACAAATTCAAATATTATTGTTATCCACGAATTTTCGAATCTACACATAGTCTTTGTCATTTTCATTTCGAAGTTGATTATTGAGGTATAGATGCCGAATAATGGCTGGTAAACGAAACATGTTATTCATTCAAATTTTAATGAAAGCTATAGCAATCAAATGCAGAGATATAATGCATTTGTCACTTGTAAATATTTTAAGATTGATATATCAATCAGTTAATCACCAAAATAGAAAAAATTGTTGAAGACATAAGTGAATAATTATAATAACAAATTGCTGGAAATACCAATTTAACGAATAAATATGAAATTTTGTTCAGTCGATACGTGATTTCAGTTGAAATTCAGACCGAAATGAGATCACTTGACGGTTTGTCGCGTTTATTTTCTCACAGTTGTCATTGTTCATTTTTGTGGGATTAATGCCGTTAATATTAAAAGCTTGAATTAAGAAAACGCTTTACAAAGTGTGTTTTCTTCACAATAGGAATTTATGAAAACTCAGTACAGTATCATATAGTTAGTTCAGGAAAGACAAGTGCTACTAGTTAATCTAATGTCAGGATCCACGAAACGTGATAACTTTTGTCTCGCTTGATGTTATAAACTGGAACTGTCGCTATCAATTAACTTTTCTGTGCTTAACAATTCCAACAAATGCAGTGAATCACATATATGAACAGTTGTGATTTGATAATCAGTTTTCAAATGCAGCTCTAAAATATTCAATATCTTCTCTAAAATGAGAATAGAATTAATTGAAATCTTTTGATAGTAGTACAACTATAAACAACTTGTCAATCTCATGAGTAACTATGTTGTATTTAAATCTACAAATAGCACTTAAAGCTTCAAAATGCTTTGAAAGCTTTTTCCGCTTAATTGTTACATCTCGCTCGTCAAACAAACTATATAAGTTGAAATTGAAAGCGTGATATATGTGTCACAGACGTTATAGGAATTTTATGTAATCTCAACTATTTTCTTACCAACTAGAATTTGGAAAAATTGTCAGCTGGTATAAATGGTCTTATGTTATCATTCGAAGTAAGTAAACTTAAATAACACAGTATTCACTTTATTCCTCAATCACTAATATTCACAATTGACACATGCATTCTATATGTGTTCTCTAGGTTCGAATCGAGCAATCGCATTGTTTTAATTTGAATTTCGCTGAACAATTGACGAATGCAATTTATAGTTGATCACGCTTGTATTTCACATTAGATTGATGAATAAATCAATCAGCGTACCTCTTGCTGTTGTTTGAGTTATTGTGTACCACCACGAAATGATTATATATTCGCGATATTCCAAAAATGAACATGAAATATTTGACTTTCCGTGATTAGTTTTGTTTTGTTGTTCGGTGTAGGTAAGCACTAAAGTGATTGTTCAGAGCGATTTATAGATGGTGTAGGCAGGATCTATCATGGACACATTGAAGGTATGGGGGGCGTCTGATTTCGGAAAAATGCAGGCTAAGGTGAAGGTCATGGGGGAATTACCGAGCAGCAAGTCAAGAATGACTCTTCATGTGGTCATTTCTTTGAACGTGAAAGAAGTTTTGGGTTGTCCTTGATATGAATAAGTATAAAATTTAGTGTCAGATTCTTTGAGTGCAGAAGTGTTGGACAATACAAAGAGCGGAAACAAAACTCATTTAAACGTTGCATCATGCATTTGTTAATTGAAAGGCGCTTGTGATTGCCGGATTAACCAGTAGTTGTTCACTGTATACAAGAATGTGAGCTAGTGAGAAAGGTTTTAGTCTGCATAGTGACAATAAGCGAAAAAAACTGTGATAGAATCAGAACTCCCACGTTGACATTCAGAAAATAAGAAGCACGAGTGTGGCAGAACACTTGAAAACCAGACTGAAAGAAAGTTCTGATTGCGGGAGGCTCGGAAAGATTGAAATTGACGAAAGAAGACTGTTTATAATCATTAAATCAACATTGTTGTATTTCAATCTAAATAAAGCACCTAAAGCTTCAACATGCTTTGAGTGCTTTTTCTGCTTAATTTTCACATCTCACTTGTCAAGCAAACTATATGAGTTGAACATCAAAATGTGTTATTTGTGTTACAGATATTATAAAATACCTCTCTCACCAACATTTGTCTTCACACTGCCTTATCAACAGCGGTATGATTTTCAATATAAATTGTTTTATATTGTTCATTTACTTACATTTCATGCAGACATACAAGGGAAGTTTAATTGGAGATACTGAAAGCTTAAATGAAAGGAAGATGTTTTTTTCAGCATTCGCTAGAGTAAGTTGTGCACATCGTTCAAATTTAATTTGATCGGAAACTCAATTCACAATGATTCTTGTTCAACTTAGTCAGCTGTAGTCATTATTGAGTAGAATATCAACACAATTATATTTCAATCATCTTGTGAGCAGAAATGTTAGTTAAACAGAGTATACGACTTGAAAAATGAAACCATAATAAATCGGTTCATCAATGAGTGCTTGTTTTGTCAAATTCTTTTCACGTTCCACAATCGCGAATACAGATCTGTTTTGCAGAACGATCGTCGTCCATGTGTCTGTTAATTACAGCCAAAATAACAACGAGTATAATAACAGGTTTGTTGAACGTGGTAAAGTATACATTGAATTACCATTCACAAATCTTCTTTTCATTGAGAAACGCCAGAAGTGACTGCTTTTAACTTAATGATTCATGAATAACGATTATTAACTGTGAAAGAGAGTTGCGTGACGTGATAATATGAAATGTTAAAACTGAGTTGAACTGCGATCAGAATGAGCGTAGAAACAGAAACACGATGATCGGATGTCTGTTAGTGAGTGATAATGAGGATGGGAGTTGGCGTGACATTTGGCCATATTTAGGAAAGCTATCATAATTATCGTCACCGATGTCATTATTATTGACAGACAGAGCGTTGATTATTAGTTTAGAATTAAATTTCTATTTGGTATTGTATAGCTTCGAAAATAATTCTTCCGGAAATAGGACAATTCTCTAAGTCAATCGACTGTTGTAAAATCACTTAAAGATATTTGAATTATGAGTCGTCGTAAGTTAATAGATTGTGTATAAGGCAATATTTGAATGATGAGGTTTGCTGATAAATCATAATATTTATGCATATACGAAATTATTTTCAATTCAATAGAGTCAGATGAGCGAGCACAGATGCATTATTTTAAATAACTCTCATTATGCTCACAAGATTTTGTTGACCGAATAATACGGAATAACCTGTAGATGTCCCATAAGAATTTCAATCTGGGACAGAGATTGTTGAGGAAGTGAACAGAAAAGTTGAAACTTTCAATCGTCGCCATGGCTCCGTTATTTCTCTTTGCAACTCAAGTTATCTCTTCCGATGGCTGAATTCAGCTACAACAATACAGATAAAATACACTGAATTTTGAAACTTCCCAAAGCAAACAGACGTATCAGTAATTCATGAATTTAGTATTTTGGGGTTGATTTTGAAGCAGATTGTGATAACAGGCCCAACTACCTCACTCTGTTTCACTTTTACAAAACAGTTCACAAGTAAGAATATATCATCATTCCTTCGATGAACTGTAGTTCCAGTACTTCAGAAATAAATTCACTGTCAATTTTAGCGTTCAATATATCAATCATAATAAATATTTTCATTCATTGACAACCCCAGTTCAAGATCTTAACCCCCTTTCCGGACATACAAGATGGTGAAGCCTATTAGGTCGTTCTGGACAGAAACAGGCCACATCGAAACACGGCACAACTACCGGGGCTAGAACACCTGGTTTTGCAATCCTTTGGAGGATGCCCAATGACGAGCAACCCCATAAGATACATACACCATTTTTGAAAAAATTTTGTCGTTTCCCATTTCAAATGTAATTGTGCTATGTTTCTCTGTGGGTTTCGTAATCGATTGGTGAGTATCGGTAGGAGTGGATGATTAGCCCGATCTCCACCATCAGGGTTACCGCTCGCGTTAGTTCATGAGTCATTCGTCCCACTCTCCAGGAGGCACGACGCGGACGTGTGAGATCTAATAACACTATAAAAAAAAACAATGGTTCACTAAGATACAACGAACGTGTCACATCTTACAGAATCAAAAATGAATAAGTTGATTTTGGCGTAGGCTAATTTGTTTGAGTAAATAATAGATCACAAAGTGTTTAAGTGCGTCATCGTCCCTTAAGTCTTTTATCTTCATTTGTAGGAAAACGTGGTTCGAAGCTTCTTTCTAGTTTTCTCAAAATAACATTCGTGTCTCATTACGTATTGAAATGATTGTTAGTTATCTTCAATGACTTATAACTACTATACAATTAAACGCATTTCTCATTATTTTCTGTGCTTTTTTTCGCATATCCCTAATAACTGAAGATGATTTGTGGCGGCTTATTATCACATATTGTTGATCCCAAATCACAGTCGTCTACCCAAGACTACGAATACATGTAATTCATTTGTATTTTCATAATATGACTTTTAAAATATTGTCAGTCACTTTCCGTCTGTCAAATCCATCATGTAATCCATAATTTTTACTCGATTACTTAATACAGCCAACACTAATACTGCAAATATTCTCTTATTTAAACAGTAGTTTAAACAGTACATATATGGTTGTGTGCGTCGACGTATGCAAATGTTTAGCTTACAATCGTTCACATGAAATGCATTTCAACAAGTACTGTGTAGTGTGTTCATGAATGAATTATCACAATAGCAAATTACGTTTTTCATTGTTTGTTTCACATATTTCATCCTAATTTTTTTCGTTTTCAGTGTGAACGATGTTGTGAAACACACTCAAGGATTTTCAGAAACGTACCAATGTGAAAGTGGTTCGATAATGAATCCTGTGCGCAAATGTATTCTTTAGAAGCAAACATTATTAGTGTGTGTGCAAAAGTATTCGTTTTTCTGTTTAATGGATTCCGTAATTAAACTATTGTAATGTTGTTATATCTTGAAAGTTCATTTTCTCTATATACCGCGTATAACAGAGCACTAGAACACCAAAACCCTTCCAAGTCGCAATAAGAAGACAGAAGACTAATGAAAGAAATATTATAACAAACATTGTCAATCATAGTACAAAATTGTCAGGTATTTATAGTTTTTAGTGAGAACGAAATCATCATTACAGTCTTCCAATCCGCATACAAGGCGTTATTAGCATCATCCAATCGGGAAGCTAAACGTTGAAATTTTAGAACATTCTTCCGAAAGGTGATTGGATGAGACGTCTTCGGCTCCTTCTTAGCCTCTTACAGCTTTCTCGAGTTCACCGGTGGTCCGTCGTCACAAATGTATCACTTCAATTCTACAGATAATAAACATTTTATTAGTGTAGATGAAATCCAATATTTGATTGTTACAGTCAGATCAATCGCTTCTGACAGGTCAAATAACGAGAACATTATAGTTTTAATCAAGTGGAAGAATTATTCCGAAACATTGTTTCTACATTATCCTTATAAATGTGCGGATCAAATTAGTCGTTTGTGTGTTGAAATTTCAGACGACGGCGTTCCTGATATATTTCTTAAGAAACGTGATACGGGAGGCAGGAACATCACCAATCTTATGACTTGTAAGAAGAATTGTCGCCTCACGAAAACGACACGCTTTCCACATATTTGCATATAATTAGAATGTTATTTAAAGCACAATTAAATAGGTTTTTGAAGTTTAGCAAATGCCAAATTACTTGACTAAAATTTATGCAAATCATAGATACACAATGCCGACCGAAGCTGCTACCTTGAAGCGGTGGTCGGGCTTGCCTATCGTGATGACCCAACCGAGCTATATTTGCTGGAAAATATGTTCCTGTAGGTTCTACCATGCCAGGCAGGTCGGTTGGAGAACGGTAAGACTAAAAGCAGCAACTCAAGTTCTGAGGGCAAAGTCGTGCTGCTGACTGTGTGACAGCAGTAAGGTGTTTCCCTCGGACAACCAGTATCTGCAGCGATGCTGCCTTCCCACATGGAGGGGTGGGGTTAGAAAAGGTTGACCCTAAAAATGTCACACCTCACCTTACCTCACGGATTTCCGTCTCCGGCGGTAAGGCCCTTTGAAGAATGGAGCTAACTCATTAAAAACCTCCCACAAAAGGGCCGTGCGCGACCGGCCTCAAGCAGTTGTCCCTTGAGCTCTGGGGTCACGCTCCCAGATCGTTAAGATCAACACTAATCAAATTTCATTTTCAGGTTCCTCAAGAAAAACCCTTCCACGGTGTGGGCAGCCGGGAAGTGATATCAGCCCTCATACCCGTAACAGCGCACGAAATCAAGTTGGTCACATTCAAATCCTTCCTACACCTCCTAATACCTCTCTTATCTCCATGACTAAACCTCCTCACGTCTTTTTATCACCTCGCACCGGTAGGGCAAACGATTCGAGTACGCGGCACGCTATTCCTGGTCTCCTGAAACGACGGTCTAAACTACACGTGTGAGCTTTTAACGACCGAACACTGTGCAAATAGGTCAACAGGCTTCCTTAGCTAATACTTTATAATCCCGCGCCATCGATGTGTGCTGCGTCTCCAAAACGCGCATACAGGATCCAAGTAGCGTCGTTCATTTGACCACACCATGCCAAAATAAAGAACCGACTCGATTTACGCTTCGTGTATCTGGAAGCCTTGATTCTGCTTCCCATGACCTCGCCGGCGTAGGAATAGCATTGAGTCATAGGACAAAACTAGCTCTCTTGGAATGGATCCCAGTAGACAGTCGTTTGTGCGCTGTCCGACTCAACGGAACAGTAAGAACCCGGAAAGATAGGGACACTCGTCGTTGGTAAACTAAGCGATAGTGAAAGACACGTGAGTGGATCTTAGAGCATCATGGCTCAAAGAACAGATAATGGCGACCGTCTGTTGCAGCTATGCTCGGATAACCGCCTCTATCTTGCAAATACTAACGTTAAGCATAGGGAAAACACATCTTTGAACATGGAGACCCCCTAATTCGTCCCAGCGTTGGACCCAAATAGATCACATCGCTATCAGCCACCGATGGAGAGGCTCGATACAAGACTGTCGCTCATTCTGGAGCACATGCTTAGATTCAGTTCATGCTCTGGTACGAGCGCGTATCTGTCTGCGTTTTACTGGACGTAGGAAAGACGCTGCAAGGAAACCTCTTAGGGTCCTACTTAATGATAGTCAACCTAAGAGTATATTTCAGAAACAACTAGGAAAACAGTTAGGCAGCCATATATGTGATGCCCACCCCGAGGCATCATGGATTGATATTCGAAAAGCTGTGGAAACAGCAATGATATCTGCCAATACGATAACCCGCAAGGTTAGGGAGCAACTCTGGATCTCAGCAGCATCTATCAAACTGATAGATGCTCGGAAACGCATTCCACCTGTCTCTGAACATAGTGAAGAGCATAGTCAGCTTAAGCGCAAGCTGACAAGAAGTTTACGCAATGATCGTGAACATTGGAGGGTAGCGAAAGCAGGATAGATGAAAAAGGCAGCGGCAATAGGTAATAGCAGACAATTGTTCAGACTTGTTAAAGAAACTGGTATTAGGAAACCGTGTGTTAGCGAAACAATCTCAGAGAAAGATGGACATATTATACACTATCAATCCAGGAGATTGGATCGATGGGCAGAACACTTCAGGTATCAGTCCAACTGGCCTTCAGCCACACTTCGGTTTCCCACGATCTCCAGTCAACCTGAATGGCAAGTTTATGTAAGTCCTCCGTCTCTTTACGAAGTTGAAAAAGCCAAAGGAAATCTGAAGCGAGGTAGAGCAGCAGGCCCCGACAAATATACTCTTGAGATTTTAAGGATGGTGATTCAGTATTAGCAGTGAGATTAATTGAGTTCTTAGGTAGTATTTGGGAACTGGACGTAATCCCATCTGACTGGACTCAATCACTGATTGTGCCTGTCTATAAGAAAGGACAAACGTCCTCTTGTGACAATCACAGAGGAATCAGTTTGACTAATATAGTGTCTAAAATATTAGCTTCAATAATACTTCGACGCCTAACCAAAGCTCGTGAAGATCAGACTAGATAAAATCAGGTTGGTTTTCGAGCTGGCCGTGGTTGTATAGACCAAAAATTCACACTACGTCAGGTTCTAGAACACAGACACACGTTTAGACGCCCCACAATGGTAGTATTTCTCGATTTTAAGGCGGCATTCGACTCTGTTGATCGTAAGGTTCTATGGCAGTGTTTGCCACTGAAAGGAGTACCAAAAAACTACATTAACCTTGTTCAATCTCTCTACTCGAACACAATTGGTAGAGCGAGAGCTTATGTCGAACTGTCATCAGAATTGAGTACCTCAAGTGGTGTTCGTCAAGGCTGTCCACTCTCTCCTTTCTTGGTTAACTTTGTCGTTGACGTGCTTTTAGAGATGACCCTTTCGTCATCTAAATTTCTAGGGGTTGAAATTCCACCGGATAGTTCACTTGTTGACTTACAATATGCCGATGACATAGTTTTATTTGGTGAAGACGCTGACAAAATGTAGAGTCTTCTGACCACTCTAAGCAACAATGCAAGCATGTTCGGGATGCGATTCTGTCCCTAGAATTGCAAAATGTTGCTTCAGGATTGGGTTGCATCGACACCCGAACTATTGATAGGGAGTGAAGTATTTGAGCGTGTCGATCGCTTCACTTATCTTGGAATTCTCATCAGCCCTTGTGGTCTGGTATGTGACAAAATCTCAGCACGGATACAGAAGGCTCGACTAGCTTTTGCTAACTTGCGTCATTTATGGCGTAAGAGAGATATCTGTCTATCAACCAAAGGACGGGTTTACTGCGTAGCAGTTTGTTCCGTCCTACTTTATGGAAGTGAAACATGGCCGGTAAGAGTAGAGGATATTCGTAGACTACTAGTATTTGATCAAAAGGTGTTTTCGAAATATTGCTGGTTTATCCTGAGACCATCGAGTAAGTAACACAGTTGTTAGGAAACGGGTACTAGGTAAGGATGGCAAATCAATTGATGAAGTGGTGAAACTTCATCAGTCGAGATGGCTGGGACACGTGTTACGTATGACAAACAACCGTCTGCCTCGACGTGCGATGTTCAGTGGTATAGGAGTAGATTGAAAGAAAGCTAGGAGCGGCCAGATCAAAACATGGCACAAGTACATGAAGTCATTGACAAGTGGTCTGAGTCATATCGGTAGGTGTAGACTACCTGGTTGGGGACCGCGATATGATAGCAACCGATGGTTAGAGACCTTGAATGACATGGCTCAAAATCATTTGCAATGGCTCAGGTGCATCCAGTCTTTGTGTTCTCCCAAATTTTGATCTTCTGATTCCCCTTTGCCTCTTTTTTTCTCTTCACAAGTTCATTTCACTGTATTATACTCTTTACATAATATCTCCAAACACTAATCTTTCTGATTACTGCTTACACTCTTATTACCTCTACCACTACTGGATTTGAATCGACCACGTCATCTCTGTGCTAATGTGGTTTGGCATTTCGAACTGATGTACGTACGTACAAAGTTCTACGTTATTACTGACTGACTGACTGACACAATCCACTGAAGAGTATCATGATGATTTATAATAGATTGCAATTATCATGCTACTCTTAAAATATACTTTTCACTTAAACAAGCGCACGTTTAACGCTGCTAGGTAATTTCGTTTCTGCATCGAGAAAACCCGTGAAACCGGTTTTGGACATTTCGTAAGAAAATCTTATGGTACTGAAGAGGTTTTCAATAGATCCTAGAAGATTTGCAAAATATTTCTCTGAGAACACACTTCTTGTAAGCGCTACAACCAGAAGCACACTGCATTAGAATATTAAGTCAGTAGGTAAACAAAAATTAGCCATTTTCACCATCTTACAAAACATGTTGAAGTTCTTCTGTACATAAGAATCAATTATGAACGACGAAGGAGGAGACCAGTCAAGAATTGCTTAATTATGAAAAGAGAAATGCAGGT